ATATATTATATATATATATAGCAGATATTCCCATGTGACGATATAGGCCAAGAAAATGATTGTATTGACTTGCACATTAGTTTAAGTTGTTGGGGATCCCATGCTACCTTCGGCTGCCGCTGGTGCGCGATTAGGCACTTCCTCCCGATCTTCTGGCTGCCGTCTTCCCCTGTTGCTTGGGTTTCCTGCTTCCCCTTCTCCTCAGGGCGTGGCTAAGAATTCACAACTCCAACAGCCGTATGCTCAGTATCCGGATCGCTTCTAAAAAGCCTCTTCTGCAGGGCGGTAGGTGTGGTGTTCATCCTCTCTTAGACGCATATGCATTTCATCACATCTGCGCGGTAACCACTAGCACTCTTGGTTCGCTCTCCGCTGGTCAAGCAGTTGCCTATTGCGTTCTTTGGAGGAAGGTCCCGCAGTGTACCACTGCTATAGAAACTCGGAGTCCGCATTCAACTCGACCATGCTCCCAACGGTTAGTCGCCTCCCAACCGGAGGACAAATCCTAATCAATCTCCATTGTGCAAGAAACGTAAAAGACTGATACTGGACAAAGGGGTTTGGCAAGCTCCAAACTAACGCTTTTGCATATAAGCATATGTTTAGCACATTCGTTACTACTCACAGATATGCAGAGGGCCTCGCTGCTGTGCGGGAGGTTCGTTTCTTGCATCTGCACCCCGGGAACCTTATGAAACTACCAAGTGTACCGTGGGATCATGGGTCTTATCCGAGGGTTATCGTGAGCTGCAGAAAAATTAAAATACTGAAGGGGGGGATTCCTGCAATAGCGTGAGCCTCCCTCCTCGATATCCAGGTGCCGTGAGCGCATCGGCTATCCCGTGGGGGCAGCCCCACAAGCAAGCACAAACAGCCACTAGTGACTGTCTGTATGAACGCTGTAGACAGCTGTTGAGGATTTCTGGGTGAGTACCGTTTCTCTGCTAGTGCTGGGTAGGGGTTCTTGGGACTATTTCAGACAAAGTTGCCAACATCACACAGCCTGGACTACAACATAGTCGTAGCACCTCCAAGACTCTCCGTCCCTCCACCTCCACGGGCCAATGGAACTTTTTAATTCTTCAGATGTGTAAGCTACAATAATGTTTCAGTGTGTGATGATTCATTTCGCTTAAGGGGAAATAATAAGCTGAACTTGTAGTCCTCCAACAAAATGAAATGAGGATTCGCTACGACACTGCGCCAGAATTACTAGTATTCGTCATATTATGCGTTCATTATTATTGACCTAATAAAGGTTTCCAGAAATATTAAGTTAGTCCTATTTCACTGATTATCAATTCACTTACTCAGAACTACTACCTCAATGCTGGGGCCGATCTAGCTGATATTTCTGTTTCAGACGGCGCTGCACCGATGCTCAACTCGTGCTTCCCTCATTCATTTCACATAAGATTAAGGTAAAAAAGAATAAGTAAATGTATGATTCGACAACTGGAATAATATATGATACTTCCTTGCAGGCGATCGCCGGTAAAGTTTAGTACCACGGCGAGCTTGTCAGACACTGTCGTGCTCAGCTGCTGTAAGCTGTGCCTGCTTACACCATCATCCAAGCTCTGCCTAATTATATCACAGTCTTTTGCGAGCTAAAGCTACAGCCGCTGCATTCTCCTTAGCCCGTTGTAGTAATGTATCTGTTTTCACATTCCTCCTTCCCCTGCGGGGTGATTTGTACCTCCTGGGCTGTGGATGTAGAAGAGCCCTCGCCTCATCCAATGGCATATCAGCTACCTGTTCAGCAAGGATATCATAAGCCAGTTCTGCAGGGGTCCGCAGACTTGCTACTGGCGTGCTCTGTTTTTTTGGTCTCTTCTCATTGGTACGGACTAGCGTTAGATCGCACCATCTCCCATCTACACATGCACGTAATTTATCAGAGTGGAAGGACCATACCACCTTATGATCTGTCAACCAATCTACCGGAACAGCCCCCAAATGTAGTGCACAACCGTCCTAAGTGACTGACTCCCCAACTACATCCTCTAACTACCCAAATTCCCGTAAGTCATTACTTGAATTTCCAAATCATGTTCGAGTCCCTATTATATACAAGGGAAGTTCCAAAAATAATAGAACTGACTGACTAGAATAGCCAGAACTGACCCCCGGTCTACAGTGGAGGTCAGCGCCGACCTATAAAATAACGGGGGTACAGCAGCGACAACATAGTCAGGTGCCTGAACAACAAAGCTGCTAACCACATAAAATGCCATATTTACTGGCGTGAATAGTTTCTCTCTCTTTCTCATTTATTAGATCTCTAGAAGTCCTCCTCTGCACCCAATATAGTGAGCAAGTACTGCACTACACGTCCGGTGTGAACAGCTGGCTACTTAACCCTACTGAGCTGTAACTCCACCTATGGTATCCAATTCTTAGAGCGTTCAGCAGTATTAATTACCTTTCTTAGCAAAAAATGTTCTAACCCTTAAAATATTTAATATTTATAATCATAAAGCCGCTAGAGGTCACACCTGAGCCACAATGTAGTGCCTGTGCACTACATCCTCAAGACACCCTTCTCAGCTCATGGAGATCAGCTGGTCTTTACGGGGCCTTAGTCGAAGCATGGCGAAACCCAGGACAGAAAGCCCATCCATAGTCAGACGTGCTCTATGCTTCGTCTTAATAAACAGTTAAGTCAACACAAAGTCAAAACTCTGTCTTCTCTACCGGACTGTGTATACTATGGCAGTTGATGGTTGGCACTGCATGCGTCGTCACAGGGGCGGATGCCTCCTATTATTTTGTGCCCTAATTCTTCTTTTGAACATCAAATAATATCATTTTTGACAGCGTCGACTTGTCTTTGTGCATACAAACACCATCCTCCCCGTCTACTAGGGAGAAGGCGGGCCGCGCTGCGTAGTGGAAACAAGTGAGGACGGCGAGACAAGCCCTGCTCTCTGCAGGCGAGGTACGCCTAGACAACTCACCGCTTTCTTATTTTAAACACCAGTAGAGCGCGTCAGCCTGGGGGGAATACCCCTTGCCGAAGACTGCAGCTGCAGCTGCATCTGCCTTGCCCGTGCTTTTCTCTCATTCTCCCACTTGCGGGTCAGTTTGGATCTTAAGGGCCACTCGTGGGGGAGGGCCTCCCATTGAGCGGTTGCCAACTCGCGCGAGTTGACCAACCGAGGGTGGGCAGGAGCAGCAGCGACAGCGGAGGAATCGTGTCGAGTCGGAGATGGCGAAGGCTGCTGCGGTTTCTGTATTCCCCATTTCCAGGCGCAGGCCTCCCCCATCTGAGCCAAATGGCGCAGGAGACTGCGGTGGGAAGGAAGGGCTGCCCATGAACTACACCATGTCTACAGGGGGCCCTTCGCAACAGCAGCATAAACAGGCGCAGCAGCAACAGAAACAACAGGAGCAATGGCACACCGCAGTACAGGCAAAAGAGCATGCATTATCAACAAGCAAGCCCAAGCCTGCTGTTGTGAAAGATTTTCTTTCTCGTCTCCCGAGCGTCTACTCCGTTAATGAAGGCTCGGCGGCGGACCTAGACACCACTGCAGCAGAAGAAACATCAAGAGCAGCAGCAGCAACAGGCAGCATGAATTATTCTGCCTGCGTTTCTTGGGAGCTACAGCAGCTGGCAGCAGACGGCGAGCTGATAATGCATATCGTGCGGCGCCTGGAGGCTTTAATTGCATGCAGAGAAGAGGTGACTAAGCAGCCGTTCGCTTTCGTTTTCCCTTCTCTCCAGTTAGTTCGTCCAGTATTGCAATTGGGCGTGTCTCCGTTCATGGCAACAAATGACCCCAAAACAAACAGAGATGAACAGCTCTGAATGGTTTGGGTGTACAGAGTTGTTAGGGCTTCGGGTGTGGGCCTTGGTTATATGTGCAGGCCAATGGGGCACTGAAGGATCTTGTCGCGGAACAGCGAGAGGAACTGACAAAACCTGCCTCTATCTTGAGGTCCGTGCCACTAGTTTTCGTCTGTTTGTTTTATTCATTTGTTGTTTGTTTCCTTCACCTGCTTCTTGCTGTTGGTTGTACGGTGCGGATGCTTGCTTGCCAGTTTCTGTTGTTGATTTGATTGCTTCCTCTCTTACCTAAGCGTTTTTTTTGTTAGCTATTAATTCGCATCTTTTCATTCACGGGACTTTTGTAATGCTTACTCTATACATGCGCTGCATTTTTAGGTGGTTTGTAGCTTTCTCGTTCGTCGTTTGCTTGTTTGTTTCTCTACAGCGAGTTGCGTCTGTCCTTGGAGCGGTTGCGTTTTGATGCGGCTTCAGTCCGCCTCTGCTTGTCTTCCATTCGCCAGTGCCGCTTGCTTCCTCCTTTGTTCATTGTTGAAAAGCAGCAGCATAAGCAGCAGCTGCAGCAGGAGTTGAAGCTGCTGCTGCGGCTCCAGCAGCTTGAAGCGGCAACCCTGGCTGCTGAAAGCTGCAGCAGCAGCAGCGGAGCAGCAGCAGCAGCGCAACTGCCGCTACAGGCCGCGCTGCTTATGGAGGCCGCTGCGCTGTCATCTTTATCTTCTTCTCGGGACTTGATGACAAACGCAAACTTACAGCCTAGCCTCCAGCAGTATGTACACGAAACCAACCAAAAGGTACACCCTTAGTCCTTTAACCTATCCCCTAAACACCAACTATCCCTTTCCATAAAACCCATCCCTGAAACCTCACCCCTGAAAGCCGTTAGTTTGCGCTTGTTGCTGTTCAGCTGAAGCGGCTTCTGGAGGGGCTGAAGGCGGCTTTGAGTTGTGCACTTCAAACTGCTGCGCGTTCCCTCCCCCCTCCCGCCTGCGGCTGCGGTTGGAGGAGACCATGGATTGTTGCAGTGACACATCAAGAAGCACCCACAGCAGCAGCGGCAGCAGCAACGGCAGCAGCAGGTAATCCAGCAGGAGCAGCAGGGAAAGACACATGGAGCCTGTATCTGGCGGCTCTCGGAGCTTATTCGCTGCTGCCGCCTTCATTCTCTGTAGGGGCTGCGGTTTCCGCTGCAGCCGCCGCCGCCGCCGCAGCGGCAACGCGCCAAGTGCTGTTTGCTTTTGTGCCTGCTGATGCTGCCGCATTTTCTGAGGCTGAAATAGATGGCGTGGACATCCTTCGTAAGCGTTTGCTACTGCTTCCGGAGCCTGGGGCGTGCGCCGCAACCGCTGCTGCTGCCGCTGCTGCTGCAGCTGCTCTTGCGGCGGGTGGAGGCGGCGGGGCAGATCTGTTGGGTCTCCTCTCTGCAGGAGAGTTGGCTGCTGCTGTAGCAGCTGCTGATGGGGTGTCTTGCGTAATGAGCGTTTTGGGGGTCCTGTTCGATTGTCTGGTAGGCGCAGAGGCACTCAGCCGCTGGCACGCCAGGGAAGGTCTGCGGGCGCTCCAGCACGTAATGAACGATCAACACAGACGCAGACACTATCTGCAACACCAGGTCGTAGAGCAGCAGCAGGAGCATGGGGAGAACAAGGATGGGTGCCACATCACCATGCCAACTCCCCCTACACCCGGCTGCTGCTGCAGCAACTGCAGCAGCAACAGCTCCAGTCGCAGCGACTGCCGCAGAGAAGGGAACAACAGTTGTTGCTTCAGCAAGGGGGAGGCAGAGAGGCCTACGGTACACCAACTCGCTGCATCTGCAAAAGAGCGCCTTCGGGGTTTGCCATCGTTGCTGCGTCTGGGGCTGTTCCTGCTGCAGGTAAGGCAGCAGCTACTCCAGCAGCGGCAGAGTCTGTGGCTGCGGCTGCAACAGCAACTGGTAGAGGTGCTGGCTGCAGTCCCCTTCAGCTTGGGCAGCGCTGCTGCTGCTGCTGACTTCGTTTCTTTGGTCGTGGCAGTGCAGCAGTTCAAAGCAGCAGGCGACGCCTTCGCGGATGCAAGAGATGATAAGCAAGAGATGAATCTTGCTACAGCAGCAGCTGCTGCGGTTACTGCTGCTGCTGCCTACGCAGGCGAACGGGAGGCAGCAACCTCACCAAAAGGTCGGGGCGCAACATCACGGACAGACACAGATGCAGCCGAAGCAGCAGTGGCTGCGGACACAGCAGCAGCAGCTGCAGCAGCAGGAATGGATGCGGAGGCCTCGGTGCCGTGCCAACACACCAGTAGCAGTACCAGCAGCAAGTTGTCGAATGTGTTGCTGCTGCGTGCGGAAACTGCTTTGCAGCAGCTTGAAGAAGCGTCGGTTTCAAAACTGCTGCAGCAGCTGCAGCGCGAGACGTGGGAGAGGCAGCCTGTTGGGGGCCACTTGCCCTTGCTGCTGCTGCAGGGAGCGAACAGACCCGCCTCTTCTTTGTTGCAGCGATGGAGATCTTTCATAGGCGCAAATATAGCGGAAGAAGCAGCAGCAGCAGGAGAGGGCAGAGCTAAGATGTGCAGCCGGTGTGGAGAAGAGGTCAGCATGTTTACAATTACAAACCCTTTCGCGCGCTGGCAGCCTGGGAGACCGTTTGCTGCGGCAGGTTCAGCACCAACGGCTCATTGTGGGCCCTCCTTGCCCCATCGGGACGGGCAGCATCTGCTGCAGTTGCAGCAACAACAGCAGCAGAGGGAGTCCTCAGCCGCTGCTGAGCTGGCAGCCATAGAAATGGAGTTGAGTGCTGCAGGTTCTGCAGCTAATTCGTGGAGTAAGCAGCGGCGGCTTCCTGTTGTGGTTGCCGCAACTGCTGTTGTAATTGAGGGTTTGCAGGGGTCATGGGGAGTGGCTGCTGCTGCTGCTTCTCCGGCAGCAGCAGCAGCAGCTGTGAGCTCGATGCTGCGGCTGGTGAGACTGTACGTTGCCGCTGTTGCTGCAGCAGCGCTGCCTCCTGGAGTCTGTGGTGTACTGGCAGGTCTTCAAGCAGCTGCGCCTTCGGGTGAGGGTGATCGCAGCAAACCCCACAGCAGCCGGATTAACAGCAGCAAACCGCCAGCTCTCAATACTCCCGCTGCAGCAACTGCAAAACACCAGGAATCAGACCCCCATGTGCATCCTCTGCTGCTTCTGGGAGAGGTGGAGACCTTCAAACGTCGTCTACCCCACTTCTGCTGGCTGCTGCGGCAGACAGAGAAGGAACTCTGGCCCCTATACAAACAACTCAAACAAACCGTCAATAATAACAGCAGCAGCAGTGGTGGTGGTAATGAGACACGGGGCAGCAGGCAGCAGCAGCAGCAGCAGCAGCTCGAGCCGCTGCTGTTGCTGGAGTTGGTGCAGCCGATGAGCCGACAGAACAGTCCAGGAGCCCTTTGGGCGTTGCCGGAAAAAGTTGCTGCTGTTGAATCTGCTGCAGAAATCCTCGCTGCGGTGGCGCTGCAGCTTGAAAATCACGGTCTCTCCAATGCAGCAGCAGCAGCAGCAGCAGCATCCGCAGAACCAACAGAATTAGGTGCAGGAACGCACCCTGCAAACGCTTCCAGCCTGGGGCATCATCAGCAACAGCACCAACAACCTGAACAGTCAGTGACGGGTGTGTTGAGTGGTTTATCTGCTGCAGAAAAGCAGCATTTGGTTGATTCTCTCGCTACCACCAGGCGGGCACTAGAGGACCTGCGTTGCCTTGTCTACCGAATCGCTGCTGCGGATGTTTGCTGCAGCTCTGCCTTCACTGCTGCTCTAAAACGTGCAGCAGCCGACACTGGAACAGAATGGCCTGCTGCTCCTGCTGCTGCTGCCGGTGGTGTGCCAACATCAGGTGCCGCAGGAGCAGATTGTGTGCCCCCAAAATACGCTGCTGCAATCCGGCAGCAGCAAAGTTTGCTGCGAGACGTGTACTGGAAGCTGCGGTGTGCAGGGGGTGGCAGCATTCCGCTGCTGCTTCAGCAGCAGCTATGGAGGCACATTTTAAGTCAAACCATTTCAGATGCTGCTGCAGCATTTGCGGTGCTCCCCCTGCCTGTCGATGCACCCGAACGCTGCTTCGCTGCGGGACCTCTCGTCGCCATGGCAGAGGCTCTCAAAGATATCATTAGAGAAGCCAATAAGCAGCACGACAAGGCCGCTGCTGCTGCGGCTCGTGCACCAGCGGAAGCACCAGCAGATGCTGCAAGAAGCGCCTTGTCGCCTCTGGACGTGGAGGAGAGTGACTTCGACATTCTTGTAGATGTCTGCTCCAGACCTGCTGCAGAACAGCAGCAGTGGTGTGAGCAGCAGCAGAACAGCATGTTGCTGCTGCTTCCACAGCTGCAGCAGCACATGCTGACCCGACTAGAGCAGCAGGGCTTGCTGCAGCGGTGATATAAGGCCAGAGAACGCCTAATTACCTTGCTTGGCGTGTTGAGACTTTGATTCTTGTGGCTGCATCAGTTAGCTGCTGAGACGCCTTCGGCGAGTGTTGCGTCCCACTTGCAACGCCTCAATGCGATACACTAGATGGACGTATAAATATCAATGTATGCACATGTCTATACTTAAGAATATATAGTGTAATGGGTAATGTACTAAAAACGGTGCCCCGCGCCAGCAGGCCCCCGTACGACCCCTAAGCACAAAATCTATCCCTATAGTACACTCCTATATAAGCATAGGCGCTGTCCCCTGCAATGCTTGTAATACCGTCTATACGAAGGCATGGCCCATCCACCGAACGCACGTGCACATAATCTGTACGATTATGTGCACGTGCGTCCGGTGGATGTTTTCGTATTCTGTGCGTACATTTATTCTATGACTAGCTGGTGCTTTGCACTACCTCATGTTTTGCTCGATCAGGCGAGTTGGTGCCTTCGCTTGTTTTGCTCTTCCGTTGGCAATTATTGACGTTTGTTGAAAAGGAAGGAGATGGAGAAAGACGGGTGCGCTCCCCCTGCGTTGGAGGTGTTCCTCTTTCTCTGCTAATCCGGGTCAGCCCCCGATCAGCACAATAAAGCATACCGAGCATGCGTACACGCGATGTTGCGTCTATCCGTTGCACCGATCGACAAACACAACAAGATATATATAACAATATATACAATATATATAAGTGTACGCGTGCATGTGGAGAATGACGCGGCTTATCTGTAGCGTCGGAGTTGTAGCATTTGCCTGCGTTTCCAGTTGGCTCTTCTGCTGGGCATCATCTTCGTGTTAAAGGCACCTCTCTTGTTGAGCCCTCTGCTCTTTCTGCCTGCCGCGGTGAGGCCTCTTAGCTCTCTGTGTTTCATGGTTGGTTTGCAGATCCAGTTGTATCTGGGATCGTTGCGGATAGCGTTGTGCTGGGGGTCGATGAGGATGACTTCATAGTACTTGTAAACGGCGTCCTGTCCAACCCAGTAGCTGTTCAGCACCCGCAGGCTGCTGCACACGCTTCTGCCTACGCGTGCCTCTGCCACCTGTCTCAGGTTCATCGTGCTCTTCTGTTTGTGGACACCCTGGTTCGCAGGCTTCCCGTACACGATGCCCTTTGCTACCCGCCGCTTCCGGTCTCCACGGCGCACCCGCACGCGGTAAATCACAAACCCCTGCTTCTTCTTGTAGCCCAAACGACGCGCCTGCAGCCGCCCAACACCGTCCACAACAATCCATCTACTGCTCCGTTCGGCGAAATAAGGTCGCCAGACTATTGCTCAAATATCGTCACCCCAACAAGCAAACTGCGTTTGCTGCTCTGCTCCAATTCATACATCAAGCTAGCTTTCCATGTCTACCTTTTCAAACTCCCTGGAAGCAGCCCATCCATGCAGTAGACGAAAACAAACTTAAATACTGACATGCAAAGCGAGGCAACAATTCCAGTGCAAACATACTTATGCGTGAATCTAAAGGGCAAACAAGCAACAATATGGCAGTGTATGTGTTAAGCCGGGGTATTCAAGCGCTATTTCGTGTGGTACCTTGTCAGGCCTTGAAGACCGGCTGCACCGGTGAACAGCAGGCAACTGTCTGTACTCCCATGTGCGCACACGAAGCAGAAAGCGGAGGACGTCCGCCTGCTTCTTCTTCCACAGCTCCTCTAGATACCTGCACAGATGCATTGCAATACATGCCAACATCTGTGTGGACTGCCCTTACAATTTTAAGATACTTAGCAGAACACACCAATTGCACAAACAACCATACATCTCACGCACAATGCCAACTGGGGGAGAAGATCAGCCATAAGCAGTACAGGATTAGGTCCACAAACCATGACTACAGGGACTAGACCCACTACAAATCAGGCAATAGCGGACCGACACAAACCCAACAATCACACCCTTAAAATTAACATGACCCAAAACCCCGATATAAAAGGAAGACTCCTCCAGCACTGGAAGGAATTAACAAACACGGGGGAGGGCGAGATGAGAAAATGGATCCACAGAGCAACGAGGCAGGAGGGGCCGCTAAGTCCAGTGAAGGGATGCTCCCCTTCCACTCCTGAACAGAGTACCCCTACATCAAAATATATACATTTACGAAGTACACGTAACAAATCACCAGCATTAAACCACATGAGCCGAATAATGCAACCGAACAAAGGCCCATCCCCTTCCCTTGCATGCGTGGGGTGCGGGGGAGCCCTGCTGCGAAGAAGGCGGCGGCTGCCGGGAAAAGAAAAAAAAAGGAGATGAAGCAAATCCAAAAATCGACAAAACAGAACAAAGGAATGGAAGAAGACGCAGGGCAAGCAGCAGGAGCCGGAGAATCAAGCTCCAGGCGGACAACCTGCAGCAGCAGCAGCAGCACCAGCATCAAACGTACTTGTAGGCCCCCATCTTCGCTGGAGAGGGAAGGAGAAAACAGACAAATGAACTCCAGCAAAATTCAAATGCGGTGTACAGACAGCCGACGTTTTAAAGAACCCCACAAGTCGCAATCATCTCCTCCGTGCGCTGCAGCAGCAACACTGCGGTTGCTGCCAGCAGCGGCTGCAGCTGCAGAAGCTGCTGCAGCCCCACGTGCCTGCTCTGTAGCCCCAATGGGTTGCATATGTCTGCAATGTAGAATGGATGGAAATATGCCGTTGGCGAGTGGGCTGTTAAATTATTTTTAGTTGAATTTAATTTTTATAACAGAAAGAAATCACACAACTAGCCCCTTTCTAACTGCAACAGCAGTTGCCTCCGCGGCGCCCCTGGATGCCATCTTTAGTCTTCTTCTCACATTTGTTGAAACTGCGTGGATTGAATGATGCTTTAAATTAATTCTAATTTGCTCCGGTGTACAGACAGCCTGGGGTGAAACAGACCATCTCGCCTTCCCGTGTGTTTTGCCCTGTCGAGCTGCAGCCGCAACAGCGGGAACAGGGGTGGAAGGCAATAACAGAAGGGCAGTAGAATCCCTTCTAGATAAAGCAACAACTGCAGCCAAGGCAGTTCAAGAGTCGCAGCTTCAGGAACAGCGGACAACAGCAGCAGCAACGAGAACCGCAGCCACAACAGCGGCAGCAACAACAACGTTGGCAGAGCAGCGGCAGAAGCGGCAAGGGCAACAGAAGCAGCAAGAACGACAGCACAAATAATTGCAGAACTTGCGGCCTCCGCTGCGTCGTGACGTGCTTGAATTTCCCGACGTCTGACGGTTGATCTATATTTTATTTATCGCAGACGATGAAGCAAAAGCCAAGAACAAACAAACAGAATGTGGAGGCGGAAGCCGATACAAAAGCGACAGAAGGCACAGAAAGAACGAAGAGGAAGATGCAAAAAATGCAATGCAGAAAAATTACAGGAGAAGCAGAAGCACCAACAGCAGCAGCAGCAACAGCAACAGCAACAAAGGCAGCATCAGCATCTACAGAAGACGGGGACAGTAGCCAGACAACCAGCAAGCCATGCAAAAGGAAGATAAGCAGCAACAGCAACAACAGCAGCAGCAGCAGAAGCGACAGTGACAGCGACAACGAGGAGGAGGATTTGCAGTTCATTCGGCGAACCAAAAATGGGAAAGACAAAACAAATGAGGTTAGGAAAACTCAACAGATAAATAAAATATCTAGATTACTCAAAAACTAAAGTAATAATGAATAATTATGCAAGTGGACGAACTAGAAAATGAGTAAACCAATATACGAACGAGCAAGTAGACAGATTATTACTCAAGCAAACGGACACATCAGTATGTAGATACAAGAACATATTAGGATACAGCTAAACAAATAGTAGGCATATAAGTGGGTAGATTACTCAGCAAATGAATGTTGAGCCAATACTGGATATGTTGGAGGACTCTGCTGTCTTTGTTTCCTGTGCCTCGTGCCTTTTGTCCGTTTGTGTCCTTTGGTGTCTTTGTGTCTTTGTTTATTGGCATTGCCGTCTGTTTAATGTTTTTGTCTGCATTATACTATATCACTTTAGCTCTTTGTCGTACTTACCTCTTGATTTTCTTTGTAGGGAGAAGACAGTCAAGGAACTGAAAGGGAAGGCAACAGCAGTGACGAAGGCGACGAAGACAGCAACAACAATGAAGTAAGCGAACGAGAAGAAGAAGAAGATGATGACGATGATGAAGATGATGATGGAGATGACGATGAAGAAGTGGAGGCCTCATTTACGCTGTTCGATCCGCGGGAGGCAGACGAACATGATTTATTTTTATTGTTGACTCAAACACGAACTTACTCACAACTGAAATTGTCAAGACAGCAAATCAGACAAATTGCCGCGGTTATTGCAGCACAGGTTTGTTTATCGCTTGTTCTTGTGCCATCAGTTTAGGGTTTAGGGTTTAAAGGTCGTGGTTTGCACTGCGGCTTCACAATGCTTAAGTTTCTACGTGTTTCTCTGTTTGGGTGTCTGGTGTTTGGCTTTTGCTTGGCCCTTCTTGTTTGTTTGTTGCTTACCTGTTATTTTCTCGGTTCGTTTGTCATCTGTTGTTTTGCGTTTCGCTGTTGTTTGTTGCCCGTTTGCCTGCGTTGTTTTGGTTGATATGATTATTGTCATAAATGGCATATTACTGTATGTCTCATCTTTCTTAGCGAGTTGCTTAATCCACCCGTTGATTCCTCATCATTGTAATGGTTGATTATTATTTGTCGTATATGTAATGGGTGATAATATGCGTGGATTAATTGGCTGTCTTCCTTTCGTGTTGTTCTTCAGGGAAACATCGGCAACGTGAGCCGCCTTGCAAGTGGCGGTTCGTCTTCCGGGGCTGTTGTTGGTTTTTCTACATTTGTTTCCCTTCGCCAGTATCCCGAGGCCTTCAGCTGCTTCTCAGATCAAATACTACAACTAGCAGAGTAATCATACCTTCTGCTGCTAGGGCTGCTGCGCGGGTTGCTGCTGGTGCTGAGACCGCCGCTGTTGCTGCGGATGTTGTTGCTGCTGTTGAGGAGGGGGTTGCTGCTGCTGCCCTTTAGATGCAACAGAATAGTCCTTCTACTTGCCTTGTGGTTGCTGTTTCTGCTGTTGCCGGTGTTCTTTTAAAACGCAAAATTGACGAGTCCGTGCTTATCACATGAAAGTGTGCCTATCTGCCTTGTTTATCGGTTGTTGTTTTATTATTTTTCTGCCTAACTGGTTGTGGTGTGTTCAGGTCGCATGCTCCTGCGAGTATGAAGGCGCAGATCCGTAGGTCTTAGTAGCATCCTATCAGTTTTACCTCCTTTCGTTTATTTTGCTGTGTTTGTTTGTTTGCTTGCGTGCGTGTTTGTTTTTGGGCCTCCTTCGTTTTCGCTGTTTTTGATCAACCTAGCCTCCCTAACGATGCAGCGGTTGTTGCCCATCAGCTGTATATCTCAACTTCATATATATAATAGTTGGAACAAGGAGTAACAATATTTTACTTCTCCGGTTGCGCCTCTCACCCAAACTCGTATTGCGTTTCCTCCTTTTGTGTCGTCCGCAGGAAAGATCCTCTCCCCCTGCAGCAGCAACAGCAGCAAGGATGGGTCTGTAGGTTTATCGGATTTGAACCCGGCTGTGTTTATCAGCAGTCGCTATCGCAACTTGCCTCTTGTGTTGGTAGCAGAGGGCATTTTGTCCCTTACTGGAGACGTTGCTTGGAGTTTGGAGACGGAAGAAATGCCACCAGAAGAAAAGCCTTTTTACAAATTTACTCATGTTCTTGCCGTTACTCTGTAAACAATTGACCCTAAACAATCAACAATAAACAGTAATAAAACACAAACCCTAAACAATATGCAATAAGCCCCAAACCCTGAGCAACATGCGATCAACCCGTGTTTCCTTTCGGTGTTTTTCTCGTTTTGGTGTTGTGTTTTTGGTGCAATGTGCTGTGTGCCATTTTGTCCCTCTTGTTTTTGTCATTTGCCCATCAATGTTCGTGTCTGATATCTGTGCCTTCAGTGACTTCAAGCTGCGTCTCCGTCTTTGTCCTCTCTTTTGTTTCCGTTTTGTTTTCTCTTTTCATTGTCTGCTCTTCCTCTTCACTGATCTCTTTGTGCCTCAAATGCTATTTTCTGGACATGTGTTATTTCTCCTTGGTCCCCAGGGTATCTTTTCCCGTTTATTGCATTTGCATTTACGTGCACTTGCTGTTATTTCTTCAGGGCATATAAAGACAAAGAGGAGAAACAAACAAACAAAAAACAAAAGGATGAATTGGGACTGGGTGAGGCCACCGCTTCCTTCTCTCGCCATTTCGTGTGGTTGCGTATTGTATTTGCTTCTGTATATTTGTTTCTTGCTCTGCAGCCTATTATTTCATGCCTACTTCCTTTTGACATGTGTGCTTGAGCTACTGCTGCTGCATCGCTCTTTTTTTTTTGTCATCAGAACAAACAAATGATTGTTTGTCTCTGTGCAAATAACAAACGGAGCAAAGCAACAAGTACTTTTGTTTGGAGATATATGGTGTATCGTTGGCTCGCTCTTGTGTGCTTTTCTAAGTATCGTTGGTTTGAGTCTGTTGAATTGATATTTGCGTGGGGTATTATTTAACACAATGCCCTTTGATATTTTTACGGGAGTCAATGAATATTATTTCCTTTGTAGTCAACACTTGTTTGCTTCTTTACTCAGGCTTTCAACCCACCTTCAGCGAGTTCGAGCATCGATGGCTGTCTCAGGGCGCCTCTCTGGCCTTTGTCGCACCGACTCACCAGAGTGTCAGTAAAAAAGCACACGAACACAGAATAAAAATGTAGATATTTAAACTGATGAAACGTAATATGGGAAAAACATACGAGATAGTTTCGATATTCTGTAGGGAAATCAGTAAAGAAGAATTTTTCCTGTTGAATGTAACTTAAACGCACTGAATAGTTATTCACCTTCGTATAGAGAGTACTTTGACAAATGTTGACAAACGCTCAAGCAGCAGATCGGTCTTTAAGCTGTAAAATACAGTTTTCCTTTATTGTTAGATGAACTGCTAATCATGTGAGCAGTTGAACAATTAGTGTAATTTAGATTTTAAATATGGCAAGTGAACGTATCACACATCATGCTATATCATGGCAGGTATATGCACGTAAGTGTATAGGTAACTAACATATGCTTTCATGCTTCAGTGCAACTATGTTTCTCCATATGGTGCGTATGCAGCACATACAGTATATATATGTTTCGCATATTGCTGCATATTGCTGCATATATTGCTGCATATATATATATATATATATATATAGCAGATATTCCCATGTGACGATATAGGCCAAG